ACAAAAGTTTAATACGGCCTTTCTTCGAGATGCTGACAAACTCAACAAATTCAACATAGCCCTCAGCAACAGGTTCCAGGCTTTTCATGATCTACTCAATGGAGAGGGGACTACCATGGAGAGCAACTGGAAAGGTATCAAGGAGGCAATCGTTTCAACATATCAAGAGATTCTGGGCCAAAAGAAGCACCATCACAAGGAATGGATCACTGTTGGTACACTGGATAAAATTGAAGAAAGGAGGAACAAGAAAGCAGCAATCAATATCAGCCGAACCAGAGCGGAAAAAGCTAAGGCACAAGCCGAATGCACAGAGGCAAACAAGCAAGTGAAGAGGAGCATCAGAACCGACAAACGTAAATATGTGGAAGATTTAGCAATGACAGTGGAAAAGGCTGCAAGAGAAGGAAACATGAGACAACTGTATGATACGACAAAGAAACTTGCTGGAAATTACCGTAAGCCAGAAAGACCAGTGAAAAGCAAGGAAGGCAAAGTAATCACCGACATTGACGAACGACGAAACAGGTGGGTAGAACACTTCAAAGAACTCTTGAATCGACCAGCTCCACTGAACCCACCCAACATCGAAGCAGCACCCACGGACCTCCCAATCGATATTGGCCCACCAACAATTGAAGAGATCAGCATGGCCATTAGACAAATCAAGAGTGGCAAAGCAGCGGGACCAGACAACATCCCGGCAGAGGCACTGAAAGCAAATGTAACAGCAACTGCCAAGATACTCCACATCCTCTTCAGTAAGATTTGGGACGAAGAACAAGTACCAACAGACTGGAAAAAAGGACTTCTGATCAAGATAGCAAAGAAAGGCGATCTTAGCAAGTGCGACAACTACAGCGGCATCACTCTTCTTTCAATACCAGGAAAAGTCTTCAACCGAGTATTGTTAAACAGGATGAAGGATTCAGTGGACGCCCAACTTCGAGATCAACAAGCTGGATTTCGTAAGGATAGATCGTGCACAGATCAAATCGCAACTCTGCGGATCATTGTGGAACAATCAATCGAATGGAATTCATCACTCTACATCAACTTCATCGACTACGAGAAGGCATTTGATAGCGTGGACAGGACGACACTATGGAAACTTCTTCGACACTACGGTGTGCCTGAGAAGATAGTCAATATCATACGGAACTCCTATGATGGACTAAACTGCCAAATCGTCCACGGAGGACAACTCACCGACTCGTTTCAAGTAAAGACCGGTGTTAGGCAAGGTTGCTTACTCTCACCCTTTCTCTTTCTCCTGGTGATCGACTGGATTATGAAGACGTCAACATCTGGAGGAATACACGGGATACAGTGGACAGGCAGGATGCAGCTTGAGGATTTGGACTTCGCGGATGATCTGGCTCTTCTATCACAAACGCAACAACAAATGCAGGAGAAAACGACCAGTGTAGCAGCAGCCTCAGCAGCAGTAGGTCTCAATTTAAAAAAAAAAGAGAAAAGCAAGACTCTCCGATACAATACAATATGAACCAATCAAATTACACTTGACGGAGAAGCTTTGGAGGATGTGGAAACCTTTACATATCTGGGCAGCATCATTGATGAACACGGTGGATCAGATGCAGATGTGAGGGCGCGGATCGGCAGAGCAAGAGCAGCATACCTACAACTGAAAAGCATCTGGAGTTCAAAACAATTGTCAACCAACACCAAGGTTAGAATTTTCAATACAAATGTCAAGACAGTTCTACTGTATGGGGCGGAGACGTGGAGAACTACGAAAGCCATTATCCAGAAGATACAAGTGTTCATCAACAGCTGTCTACGCAAAATACTTCGGATCCGATGGCCAGACATTATCAGCAATAAGTTACTGTGGGAGACAACAAACCAGATTTTAGCGGAGGAAGAAATCAGGAAGAAGCGCTGGAAGTGGATTGGGCACACCTTGAGGAAATCAGCTAATTGCGTCACAAGACAAGCCCTCACATGGAATCCTGAAGGTCAAAGGAGAATAGGCAGACCAAAGAACACATTACGCCGAGAAATAGGGACAGATATGAGAAGAATGAACAAGAACTGGATAGAACTAGAAAAGGAAGCCCAGTACAGAGTGGGTTGGAGAAAGCTGGTCGGCGGCCTATGCTCCATTGGGAGTAACAGGCGTAAGTAAGTAAGTAAGTATGTTGGTAATCTCAGTTCAGAAATAGTGTTGATTGAGTTTAAAACATTATCTTCTGGCGGTGATGAATGAAAGGGGTTGGTTAATGAGCTATCAATATCGATAAGTTTATTAGAGGAGTCCATAATGTCAAAAACAAAAAATGGGGTCGTGCCAATTAATAAGAATACTAAATTATGCAGCTATATATAGTAAATGTCTATAAAAAGATAATCGAGGCTCACCAGATAATTGTGGCGGACCAAAATGTTTGACAACCAAAAAATTTAGCAACAAAAATATTATGTCTATAGTTTATTTAACAATTAACAGTTAATAAGTAATTACTCACAAAAATAACAAAATGAGGGACGTTACTTAAGTCTTCAGGCTATTGCGTGTTCGGCTGGGTTTGGTCCAGATACTCCACAATTATAACAAAATTAATAATCCCAATATGGACGATATAGATCCAGTAGTTTTACCAAGCGTAGAATTCAATAAGAATGTCGCAATTGTCTATAAACGTAGATGGTATGCAATTAATATTTCATTCAACATATTAGCAGACAGGGCAGAACGATGCAGACGTGAATTAGAGTGTATTTGTTGAGGAGAATTAACAGTGGCACGGTATGTTGTACTCAAAACGGAAGGAAGGAGTGTTACAAGCGTTCAAAGTAATACAGTTAAACATCAAGTACAATTGTTTAATGCTTAATGTACAGAATATGAAAATACATACGAAAACTATGAAAAATTATTTACAAAATAGGTTTTAAGGTTCTATCTCCACAATAGTAATGAAAAAGGCAGTTCAATTAAGAAAATTCCAACCACAAATAATCCGTTCAGTTCAAGAAGTTACTCTATCTTTGATAAAGGAAGTTACAACAGGACCACCACTGCCTTTTATTCTGAGGTATGCCTAATAACGTCTCAAACCGCTATGTTGCACCACCTCTAGGACTCCAAAAAGGTGTTATGAAGGACCAACGGAAGCCAGTCCTTCATAGATTTATTTCACATCTCAACACTATGTCATGTAATGACCATCTCTTCAATTTTCCCAACCATTTCTAGTATTGGCAAACAGTGTACAATGTGGAGATCTTTGGGACAACATTCATAGGACATGTCCAAACAACCGAAGTCGACATTTCAAGATGGTGACACCAGTTGAATTGTCGCTGTCAAACATGTTGCCGTACCTGTGCATTATTAACATAGGGTTGTCGCTGGATGTCAGCAATCAGACATATAGAGTCGCCTAACATCCTCAACTCGGAAGTCAGGTCTCGCAGACATAGACTGAAACTGATCTCACCGACATGTTATGGATCCAACCTTGTACAACCATACATGATGAAGGAACAAAAGATGACCCAGATTGGCATCAGCGGTTATGGCATTCACCATACGTGAATCGATCTCATTAATCACGCTACCACCAGCACTTATATAGCTACCCAGATATATTAACTTCTCGACTACTTCTATCTGCTCACTATCCAGAGTGAGTGCAGATTCAGGGTGCTGCTAGTGTCGTAAAAGCTTTTTTCACTTAGAAGGTGCAAAGCACATGCCATACTAGCGGGCACCAGTTGCCAACCGATTGAGTGTGGATTGCATGGCTTGGATATCATCGTACAGTAAGGCAATACCATTCGCATACTCAAGATGGAAACGTCTTTCTTCATGCAATTGGTCCACAGCAATACTACCTACATCCATCAGGGCTGTTTCCAGGACGTCATCGATGGCAGAGTTAAAGAGGAATTCTGAGATTGGTCAACCTTGTCTAACCCCACTGTTCGAACAGAGCAATGGAGAGAAGTGGTTGTATGCCCTCACTCTTGCTTAGATGTTTGTATATAGAGCTCTGAAAATGCTAGTAGACTTCTCAGAAATCCTTCGTTAATAGATAATCGCAGAGAACAGTCCTATCCATTGGATCGTAGGTTACCCTAATGTCAAGAAACACTACGATTGTTAGCCTGTAATAAATTTGATGTAAGGTGAAGATATGATCAGTGCATCGTCGACTAGAATGAGGACCAGCCTGATCCTCGTGAGTCAATGTGTTCCTATTTTTGAACAATCTACAAAGTGTGACGGATGTCAATAGTTTGTACATGATCAGAAGTAGAATTATTCCCTGATAGTTGTTTCAGAAACAACGTGAACCCTTGTTAAATATTGGGACAATTACCGACTCATTACACGGTGTTGCAACATTTTGGTTGCCAGAGTTTTGTTAAGAACTCAGTCAGTTCCTAAACTAGAGGATGGCCACTATTTTTGAAAGGGACCGGAGGTAAGTCATCTGTATGAGCCTGGTGATCTGTGACGCTTTAGCTGTCGGAGTTCCTTGCTGACTTCCGCTTCGTTAGGCGGATCAGTCGTCACCAGCTATGAAGAATAGGACAGTCTGATCAATGTGCTTGGGGCAGCAGACTTGTTGAACTGCTCCTTGAAAACATCGTCCCATTGTCCAAGACTTTAGTAGGTGTTATTGATTGGCATCCCATCAGCTTAGCTCATGATGTCTTTCTAGTGGATTCATTTGAACTAGCTCACATTGCAGTATCTGTACATTTTACTAAACAAAGCAGTTGCTTCCTCGTCATTTACTTGGATGTTGGACAATGCCCAATGTCGACATCCTCAGTTTTTTTGTTTATGTTTCTTTCCCTATATAAAGGTTCTGACTCGCAAGAAAAACTGCCTATAGGCGGCTAAATAATCAGCATCGATAGGCGGTGCGTTATTTTATTTAGTCCATGACCTTCCGAAACAACCAATAAGAATTAACCAACGGGGCTTGGCGAACTTTTGAAGTCTCCCTTTCACGAGGAAAATGGCTCTTAACAAAGAGTCTGTAGATTCTCATTTTTCGTTAGTTATGTATAAAGTTTTTATATTTGCTAGGTTTGTTCCAAAAGTGGTAAATGGCGGCATTGCTGGGGTCGTTGGTGTAACCTGCGTTTTTCCAATCGATCTGGTTAAAACGAGAATGCAAAATCAACAAAGTGGCAGGAAGTTATATAAAAATGTGTAAGTCATATCTAAAACTGGTCCACTACCTGACCATTTATCTCCTTTTGAAAGAAGTACTTTTAAATATTTTAAGAAGACATTATTATAATACTACGTCCCAGGAACTATGGTAAGGTGCGGAAAATTTAGGAACTGAAATAAATAGACCACAAAACCATTCCTAGTTTATGTCTGGTTAATTGAGCTTTCTAGTGAATCCTGGTTTTGATTTGACCATATCGAATCATCCACTGTCACTGGCCGATATTTGTTTTCTAAATGGGTAGTCGGATAGATCTTTCGACTACACTGTGCAATTACATTTCAGCCATCTATCGGCCTTCTATCTATTCATTCGAAGTCTCCCAACTCTCCATCTATTATTTGGATGACAATCTTGAAAAACACGTACTTACAGGGAAATAAGTAACAATGGCTTACTACTTTGTTTCCGCATCAAAGATAAAGCATTTCAAGGTGATGAGTGTCTAAACAGTATGCTAAAATAATCTAGTTTTTCAATTTAGAAACAAAATTAGCGTGTATTGTTAAGTGAATGGTAAAATGCAACTGGTTGTTTTATTGTATAGCACGATTTTTGTTGAGTAATTCTTATTCAGTGCTTACCATGCTGTTCGTTTTAAACATATCGTTTTGTAAAGACGGCTGTTAGGCTAAACTTAACCTTTCTACCGAACTGAAAGTATATACCCTTACCGATTCCCTGTATGACTTTCTATAGACATCACCAGTAAATTGTACGGTAGACATAACGTTCTGTTAAACACACTATATAGTTTGTAGTAAAAGCATTTAGCTCGATATTTTCGGTTGTCTCAGACAGAAACTTGTAGTTATATATGTTTATCCTAAATACGGTACTACTAATAAATCCATACCTTTGTGTAATTAGATTAGCCCTGACTATTTCATCTAGCTGTGTCAATAGGGTGTGGGAACCTGAGGAGATGCACCAGATCTACTTGGCTCGTACTTGACAGTATCTTTTTTTCAGATTGCCACTTAAGTGTTAGTCACCATTGTTTTAATTAAGAACTAGTTAGTTCCTTACAGAATGATATCAATGTTTTTTTTTGAAGCCTTTAGAATATTAAGGGGGGCTGAAAATACGGAAAAACCAGTGGGAGAAAGTTACTTATGGTGGAGCAATAGGTTAACGATTAGGGGTTCTATTTTTGTGCATCAAGTCCCGGGTTTGAACCCTACTCCGGTTACGTCAGCTTGGAGAACCAGTTAACGGTATTAATTTCCTTACTTAGAGTGTGGCTCATACTCAGGTATCAGGTGAGTTAGGTTGATTTAATTAAAGGTATGTGTCACGTAGTACCAAGGTGTATGAATAAGTCAATTGACTATCAGCCAAGTGAATGACGAGGTCAGACGGTCGGTCGTGGAGAAGGTTGCGAACCATTTAATGGGTTACTAAATCCTTATCGCATGAATTGATTAGGATGTGTTAATATCTCTCACCTTGACACGATGTTCATTGATGTTAGAGTAAGTTGGGAGAAATTTAGGAGCGGCAAAACCAAGACTTAACATCAGTCTGTGAGGTCATTGAGTGTTGGTAGTTCCAGACATCTGGTTAGGGTCCGTATGATAAGCGCAATCAGCAGTTGAAGATATTGAGTACCATAGCTCAAAACTGGTCACAATGGGGCAGGTGTATTCACTTTTGAGTTCTAGTATTTCTTCATGAATACCTTTGCATTTGTCTTTTAAAACCATATTCTCAATGGTTAATCTTCATTATCATCAAGACTGCATCATTTCTGTCGCTTTTGCAATTAATCTTGTTGATTTCATCTCATGTCACTATAGTACAGTAAGCTAGACCCGCGCATACTTTTTTAAAAACTAGTTTGTACATTGGTAATGACTGACTGAAAACTCTATAAATGTAAATAGTTCCAGCTCAAGAAAAGTTTTTCTAAACAATAAAATAGATTGTTGTCTATAAATCTTTGTTATTTTTACTTTCCATATCCTTAAAAAGTTTGGACTGTGCTGCAAAAACATATCGTGCTGAAGGATTTTTTGGCATGTACAGAGGTTAGTACTATGTGATTAGTGGTATTTTATTTTAGCACATTTTTAGCATATTTTAGCACACTTTTGTTGTCAATAACTGTAGTGGTAATTGTTGGACTTGAGTGATATACATTAATTTTATACGGTATAAGTAATTTATAGCAAGATAAGCTTTCAACAGTTAGAGTAATCCTAGTAAATTATAAAACCTGAAGATACACTGTTTGGTTAATCGATGTATTACATTGCTGACTTATTATCTTGTCATTAATGCTGATAGTTCCAATTTTATCTTTTCGATAGTTAACGAATTAATCTTTTAATTGTCTTGTTTACTCTTATGAGGTTACAGTTCAATGGTATCAGGGCTCAAATACTAACCATCAAATTACTAGTACCCAACCGACTCTTGGTCTAGTTTAATTTTAATAGAATGTTTGTGGTGTATTTGGTTTATACATGCAGGAGTTCTCAGGACCACTTCTCATCCAGTTTCCTCTTCAGACATCACCATAAGAAAAGTATCCCTTCACGGCGTGAGGAGTCGTGAAGAGACAATCGTCATCATACCTCTAAAAGTACCTGGGATCATCTTATTATCGATTTGAGTAGCAGTTTTATGGAGATAATTTTTGCTTAACAATAACTTTATAAATCAATTAACTTAAGTCTAACGGTGTCTAGGAAGGAAGTTAAACGTAACTAATGATATAATTAACCTTGAATTTAATGCACTTTTCATCAGGTTCAACATTAATCTTTGCCTTGTTGTCAAAACTTAAAAACTCTTATGTTAGCGTTTTTCCCCTCCAATGTTTTAGGAAGTGGTGTCAATCTCCTTTTAATTACGCCAGAGAAAGCGATAAAATTAGTCGGCAATGATTTTTTTCGCTATCATTTAAAACCTGAAGGGTAAGATTTTTAAAATATTTCTATTGTATTTGTTTTTGTTTTAGAAAATTTATCAACTTAGTTGATTATTAAGTTGCATTTATTTAAATACTTAGCAATTCGAGCGTTTGGTATGCAACTATTAGTTTACAACGTTTTTAAGCAATGTTTGTTAGCAAAGATGGATAGTGGCTAGCAGTGGAATCCAGGGCGCGTCTCGTCCTATTCGGGACTCATTAGCTGGACGTACCTGCATCTCAGATGTTCACTCTGGGACTCGAACCCAGTACCTTTCGCTTCAAACGCCATCGCGTTATCCACTCGGCCACTGAGTCCTGATAGCCAGTTGATTGTGCAATGTTGTGAAGTTTAAATTCATTTAGTATTGTTTGTTTGAATCTGCCGATTGATGCTTGTGAATTTAGGCTATATCGAGGCAATACGCACAGTATGCACGTATTCTAATAAGAGATTGATTAATTGCAGTCCCAAAACATCAATGGGAAGATTCAAATAAACAATACTAAGTGAATTTAATGCTTGTTAGCGCCTTTCGTCGGAACTCAGGAAACTTGTTTCGTCCTGTTTGAGACTTGTCTGTTGGATGTACTTGCTACAAAATCTTAGTGTTGATGTTCACATAGGTATTTAAACTCAGTGTTTCTCGCTGTCTGGGCTGAGTAGCTAAGCGTATCACTTACCAGGTATGTAAAGCGAAAGGTGTTGGGTTCTTGTCCCTATATTGACATCAATACTGGGACCTTGTAGTAAGTACACCTAACGGACGGGTCCAAACAGTTCGAAACTCGTTTCCCAGATTCAAGTTAGCCATTATTAAACTTTGCCTAAAAATACTTGTGGCAGTAGCGAGGCAGTTTTCTCAGGACACATATGTCACAAGAGACTGACCAGTCAACAAAGGGAATATTCGAACCTTTTCAAATGAATTAGTATTAAGCTACAGATCCCACCCCTTCACCTAGTTCCATCTAAGCAGCTGTGGATATAATCACTCGCCCTCGCACGAAAGTTGTGGTTCAAAGCTCCAAGTACATAAATTTTTATCTGGTGAAGATTAGTTGATATTTGTGGTATAGGTATTGTGTCTTGAATATTTTATTGATGTTGTACCTAGGGTGCATATTCAGAAAAGATTTGTTTGAACTGACGATTTAATACAACCACTTTACATTAATACTTTTTGTTGTTGTAACGTAAATGAATGATTACTCTATTCGGGTTTGTATTGAATAATTACTTTAAAAAATGGAGCTATGGTTCGATGGTTGGTTAAGTTTAATATTTAGCCCCTAATTCTTACTGTTACTGGTATGTCCTATGGCCCATCAAATATGACGTGGCAAAATCGCTAATCAGAATATCGGCACCTGTGACCCTGTCCCTGTGCTGAACCACTAATGCGTCGAACAGCACTATAGCAGTCTTGAGTCAACTCTGAGACTTTATTGGTCCTCTTTATGGTAAATTGTCGCCTATCCCAGTCCGTTCAGTCCAGAACACAAATATCAGCCTCCTTTATGTAAATAGTAGATTTCGGACATATGTAGTTTATATACAAACAGACCAGACCGCATCATACCATAAAATGAATAATAACGGTTATTCAAGGTCAAGCCGAAAGTGGAGGTGAGTGTAGGATGCTGTAACTAATGGATTGGGAATAAGTTAATGGGTCAAATAAAATCATGAAGCACGATGGAGCTTCCAGAGGCCTTAAAGGAGCCGAGTAATTTCTACCCAATCAGAACCTGATGGAACTTTTCAGTATATTAACGTAGCTTGTTGTTATTGGACTGTAGCATAACGTGCCTCCTTGCCGATTGGCGGAATTATAATGATGTTATAACCAACGCCAGTAACTATAAATTCACATGTTTCTCTTCACATTTTTGATTCTTACCCAACAATCACTTCTCATACTTTCTTCTGTCTTCTGATTCTGCGACTGTGCGGTTCTATACGTTCGAGTGCCGTTGTTTATCGTATTCTGCGATAATCAAGTCGAGGACTTGATACTTTGTTTAAATAATGTTTTTGTTTCTTGATTTCTAGCAAACCTTTAACTCCGATTCGTGAAATGTTTGCTGGAGCTGGTGCAGGAACTTGTCAAATTATCATCACTACACCAATGGAATTATTGAAAATTCAATTACAAGATGCTGGTCGGACATCAAGTAAATAAAAAAATTAAAATAAAATATCTGATGAATTTTGTTAGTAAATTTTTAAATGTTTTCTATCATTATAAGTAATATCAGGTTTTTTATTAACTGCTAATTTGGTAATGTTTAATTTTTTAAGAAAGCGATTCACTAGTGGCTTAATAAAAGATTCTGTCATTATCCTCTTACATTTCTTAACATCCTAACAGATGATGTATATTTTTCTTTAGACATTGATGTCTTTTTTTTTCATTGTAACACTTAGTGTTGCTAGCGTTTTGTTCTACAACTGACCAATACATGTAGACGACCTTAAGCAATCAATACACAGTAAGGATAAGGAAGATTGATAATTTATGCTTGACAGTTGGTCCAATACTAAGTAGCCCTAATCGAAAAGGAAAATTCTTCAACTTCATATCCAAATCGCTTGTTTATAGATTCTGAACATTCACCTGATTTAACAACACATAAAGCTAAGCACTTACCACATACTAAACAAACAGGTTCACGAGAACCTCTTATATTTCAGTTTGCAATACAATTTTACTACTCATATCACTACAGATAATATCATGTAACAAATGTTCAGCCTAAAGATGAAGGAATAAGTGAATGTAGGTATTTCTTTGGAATCTGATGACGTTTGTAGAGTATCTTGCAATTTGTGGACCAAAAGGAGATAGTACTTACAAGAACACTGAAAAATATATGAGTGAACTTAGAAGTATCGCTGTTTTATTAATGTGTTTATAGAAGAATCCCCATTATTTAGTGAGGGTATTGATAAAACAGAGCAATAATTATGCCAATTAGGCATTAGTTGTAACGGAGAGTGATTAACCTATAGTCACTATATTGTCCGATCGTTTATCAGTTAAATGACTTGTAATCATGTTCATTCCTGTGTTTAGTATTTTGTGTATGTGTGTTATTTTGTTAGGAGAAAAAACTTATTCTGTTGGACACATGTTTTGTTTTCTGATGTTAATTCAGTTGGAGGGAGGATAAGGCTACGTCAACAATTCGGTCTCATGAGGGATTCACCTGACTTCATAGTATCAATGTATATCATTTACCAATCGTCATTGTACTCTTTCTTTTTAGTAATAAAAAAACTCGTTCATAATGCCACAAAATCGTTAGTAGTTAAGTCGTTTCAGTTACTAAGTCTCAGGTTTAAACCCCACCCTACCTGTTGTGGTTTAAGTAATTGAGTAGTATCATTAACTCATACCGAAATACCTGGTCAATGAGTTACATCCCAATTCATAACAATAAGATTAAGGACGAATGGAACTGTTTGGCTTTAATCGACGTTGCGTCTTTTCTTTGTGTTTGTGAGTTGATGTCACCACAAACTGGTGCATTTAACTGTATCCTGGATAAGAAATTATAGCAGTCACTATCGAGCAGTATAATGTATTCATTAAGTATGTTTATAGGCTTCAGTATCATTCCTATTGTTTAAGGGTTATCGATTAATCTGTGTTAATTGTCCCATGTGTCGTCGCTTACTATTTTAATATGATTAAGTTTCGTGATGAAAGTCTTCGTGGAGATGAGATTGTATAATGGCAAAGGTGACGCGCTGTTTTTAATTTTCATCTTAGCTTTATAAAGTTGTAAAACCAGTGTAATGCTACTTTGCTGATTATCTCTACATTCACGTCCAGTAGTGGGACGCTGGGTCATTTATTAAGGCTCTCGACTTTCAGGCACTAGGTCATAGGTTCTAATTCCCCAACTTATACCTTGGTTTGGTCAGCGGGATAGTATCAGTAGCTCACACTTAGAGTATGGCTCGAAGCTCTATACACACGAGTCTGTGCCTGATAAGTGAGTTGAGGTATTCATATTCTACGTCATTTGCATATAGTTTTCTTCTTCAAATCGTTAAACAGGATTATACAATTGGCTTACATCCTGAATGCATTAAATTATTTCAAGGTTTTCTGTATTGAGCTGTTATCTTAACTTTATTGGAGTTAAGTATGTTGGCTATTGCTCAACCTTTCTGTATTACTTTGTAGCTGTGCAGCATAGTCTATGAAAGTAGAAGACATGCGTGGTTTGAAGGTTTTTGATCATAGGTATCTTCGAAGCATCGTTCACTTATGGTGGAACGATTTGGTGAACAATGTTGAGGCTAGGCATAAGGTACGTGGAAGAGGTCCCAAATCGGTTGATGAGGTAGTGAAGCTTCATCGGTTGAGGTAGTTAAGACATATGTTACGTATAACTAAACACCGCCTATCCTTGATGAGCAACGCTTGCTATGGCAGAAGTTGGTTGGAAGAAAGCTAAGGGCGGCCAAACCGAAATATGGCATCAATTCATGAGCTCATTGACCATTAGTCTGAGCCATGTTAATAGATGTAAACTCATTGGTTCGGTTCGTACATTTATCATAAACAAAGGTTAGAGTCTTTGAATGACATAGCTCAGAATCACTCACACTGGTGCAGATGTATTCATTCTTCATCTTCCTTTTGATCTTGAATTCCAGTGTCCCTTAGTACACACCTTTCAGCGGTGTCTTTTCAAACTATATTCTTAAGGTCTAGTTTTTCTTTTTATAGTTGCTACAACATTATTTTGATCTTTTTTGTTACTTTTATCTCGGTGTGCCAGTGTGATGTGTCAATTCGGGTCAATGAACATCTGTGCCAGGCTCTAAGTTGACAATGTATATCTGTCTGTAATGTGAACCATTGGATTCTGTTTCAGTTGTTTAAAGGTCATGCTCTCGCTGTAAGACCTGGAGCTTTTGAGTTCGGTCCGTGGTAGGGTCATGGACGTTCACTACTGAGGACTTCCATACTCCGATAAAAAAGCTATCCGGCGCTTTCTATTTTTCAATGGTTGTCTAGCGAAGGTCAGTTCGTAATGTCAACTACGAAAAATTCAACAATCTTCACAACTCCCCTATTGTTATTCTGTAGTGGTTCAGGTTGATTTTAAAGTTAACCATAATAATGTATATTCCATAGTTTCGTCAGTATTGTCCGTTTTTTCTTCTTTGATAAAATATTGCCAGTGTTTACACATTTTTAATCTTTAGTTCCTATAACTAACACTAACAGCGGTGGTACAGTAGTAGCGACGCGACAGACTGCTACTCAATTGGCTATTAAATTGGTTCGTGATAAAGGAATATTTGGTTTATATCGTGGAATGAGAGCTACATTTTTACGTGATGTTTCATTTTCTATGATATATTTTCCATTATTTGCAAATTTTAACGCTCTAGTAAGTATATAATGATAAATTTTCCCGAATTATTTCGGTGATTTGACTTTTTTGGTTTATTATATTTTGTGGGACAAACTAATTAAATGCATACTGAAAACCCCGTAGGCTCATACTAATCTGGTCCATCTTTGGCGCTCTGTGATCATAGTCTGGCTGCAAAAAGCCGAATTTACAACGTATTAGTGAAAGCTATTCTGTTCTGTGCTTGTAAAACCTTGTCCCTCTGAGCTAAGGGTGTCCTGTGTATTTCTGTGTTTGATCATCATAGTTTGGGAAGGACTGCTGACATCCAGTGATAACACTATATTAGTAATGCTGTGGTTTGGCTATGTTTGTTCGAGCACAGTAATTTAATTAGTGTTATTGTCATAAAACATCGATCTCGGTGGCTTGAAAATATCTTACGAATGTCATCCTAATGACTTCCACACCGTGCATTGATTACCAACGGTGCGATGGGATGGAAAAAACTGAGGGGGGGGGTCACAAAATGACTTGGACTGGCATCTATTAATCTATTATGACTCCCCAGTGCAACTCAGACATTACTCAGAACAAAAGCCAGTGGCTATCCGCCTGTAGTTTTGTACATTCTTCACTCAACTGAAGTTTTTTTGGTCGCTTTTTTAACTGAACTATATTTCGTATTATATATTATTGCCCCCAAATGCCCTGGTACGGCCGAGAGTGGAGAGCGTCCGCTCTCCCTCTCGAAATGCTCTCATATGGCCACGCGAATATATAACCTCTGCCAGGGAAATCCTATTCACCGCCTTCTCGTGGCGGGGGTGTTGTTCACAAAAGTGAGAGGACGAAAAGCGAATGTCCGGCGCTTTAACCGGGTTGGTGGATGTGGAGGATCCACCTAGGGGAGTTGTAAAACCCTGATTCCAAACCAATGGTGCACATGGGCTCCAGTATCCTGAAGGAACGAATGCCGTATGAATCAACTGTTGGTCACCGGCTACCATGGGACTGCATCTCCTCACGATACTCCACTGCCTTGTGGATCAGATCTTCAGGTCAAAGGCTCCGGGTGTGGTCCCCTAAGAAAACCATCTGTTTCAGTCTGGGCACCTGAGCAGTATCACAGCCCTCAAGCAAATCGAATGAGATTTGTGAGGCGCATATGTATCTGGTGCTTCCTTGTACCAATATTTATGTGTTTAAATAAATAAATAAGAAAAAAATACTGTTTTCCAGTTGTACTATTCCCCCATAATTATGTTAGCACATTGTTTTTATCTCCTTATTTGCGTTGCATACATTTTTGTGCGCATAATAATCAAATAAGAACACAAGCCAATTTATTAAGACTTTGATCAAATATTCTAATCCATAAAATATAGTGAGTGTAAGTTTATATGAATTGGTTTTTATATCTTAGAATCTAATAACTCATGTATACGATCAGATTTTAAATTGTAAGTTGTCAACTTCCTCATATAAAATATCCATACTTACTACAACGACTTTTAACCATTTAGTATCATATCCAAACTTTGCTCCATCTACTTCATTTGAGACAACCGGTTAGTATCATTATCCGTCACATAAAAACTGTAGCTCACTGCCGTGTGAGGAAACTTTTAGTTGGTAAGTGATACAGCTGCACAATTCAGCTTCTAATGTTAGCTGGTTGGAAGTAATCTGTACGAAACTCGGTATGGAGCTTCTAGACTATATGGTCTTGAGCTAACTACCTTCAACTACCTAACTTCTCAACATAGTACACGCTATGTCGAATCACTTGGACTAGCGGTCACATTGTAACTTTGTCGTTAGAGTTCGATCAACACTAAATAATAGAGAAATATTTCATTGTTCACTATTCAGTGGTGGTCCAATCAGTTTTAAATATTTCCTGACCACAACACTCTAATCGTCCCAAATGAAAACGAGAATCGAGAGAGAACAATCCATATTTCAATAAACCTGAAAATCAAAAATATACAGTAGTGAAAACGCTGAAGTTTATATAAGATTTACGTAAGGGTTTAAAATCTTTTCAATACGTCTGCTGTTTCTGTTTGGTTGGAAATGAATCAATCGGCGTGTTTCAACTTGATTTCAATGTAAGCACAAAGCAGTCAGTCGGCTTGAAATCTGTAGATCGTGGGTTTAAATCCCATCGTATCGTTTTTTGGTTTAATTTACCAGATATGATCATTAGCTTCCACTTAAGGTTCGGAGTGAAATAAATGAAAAGCCATATTTGGTCAGTAAGTTACATGTACACACTTATATCGTGCCGTTCACTCGCATGCACTGTTGCGATAACTCAAAGCCTGATTGGTTTTGCATTCAGTTTGATCAGGTGGCCTACTCATCTTGTCCATACACTATGTATATAGGATGAGTATCCTAGTGATTATGTTTCATACTTTCATTTGGTTACTCATTATTTACTTACGCCTGTTACCCCTCTTGAGGCATGGACCACCGACCAGGAACCTTTAGCCAACTCTGTCCTCAGCATTCCCTTCCAGTATTTTTGACGCTTTTGATGTCTACCTCTAATTCCTGGCGCCATGCTTTATTTTATCTGTCTTTTTCCCTACTGCCTTAAGGATTTCAAGCTAACGTTTTCTCAAATTACTCGTTGTTGAACTAATAAAATTCACTTTATCATGATTTCAGTAAATGGAACTCGCGAGTTACCATTTCCACATTGTCAAGTATATTTAGTGTTGTTCCTATTTTTATTTTGATCTCATTTAATTTATTCTATTAGGGTCCAAGAAGATCTCCAAATAGTGTAGAAGCTGTTTTCTATTGGTCATTTCTATCAGGATTTTTATCTGGAACAATAGCCGCATTCAGTGTAACCCCGTTCGATGGTAAGTTTCAATCACTTGTAAATTATCACACATACACTGATTTATAAATATCTCGAATATTTACTAAATATTTAGTCAAATCTTTTAAAAGGCTCAAGTTTATTTAGGTGGTGAATTTTTCAAACAGATCAATAAGAGTGAATGATGTCTGTTTAACGGTGTGTAAGATCCCATTCTTTATCATAGCTAAATTGTAACAAATTAAAATTAATGTGCTTCGACAAATAATATTTCCCTATTATTAATATTATTCCACAATTTTTCTCCTAGTTGTTAAAACTCGACTACAAACAATTAAACATATTGAAGGAGAGAAGGTATTCAAAGGAATAACAGATTGTTTTATGTAAGTTCTTATCGTTTACATTCTTTATTAGATAGCTTGAACATTTTTAGATCTCTTGATAAGAGAAAATAATTACTCTCATAGTTTACATCATAAACTGATCTTAGTTAGATGGCCATTGAAAACTAGCAGGTGCTGAACAACAGTTTCATCTTAGTATGGGACTCCTCAGCAATTCTAATCTACAACTAGGGTAGTTGAGACATGTAATGTGTGAAACATATAGATGACATTTGTGCACTACATAAACTGAATTTCTGTTTAATTGTCTAGGGGTTAAGTGCTTGCCTTCAGATCTGTTGGTTTTGGTAGTGTTGAGTTCTTCAATGTAAATAGTTTTATGACGCAGTTGAATGAAACTAGCTCGGATAACTTAATATTTCATTTTAGCGAGTTTAGATTTGAAATGGTAAACGTAACCCTTTAACCATGTGTAAAGATTACTGTACAGAACTTTGAGCAATTAGTAGATTTCGAACATACGTAGTTTATATACAAACAGATCAGACCGCATCATACCATAAAATGAAAAATAACAGTTATACAAGGTCATTTATTTTATTTATTTAAACAGATAAATATTGGTACAAAGGGGCACCAGATATGTATGCGCCTCACAAATCCCATTTGATTTGTGTGAGGGCTGTGATGCTGCACTGGTGCCCAAACTGAATCAAGAGGTTTTCTCACTGGGCCTTTGACTTAAAGAGCTGATCAACAAGGCAGTGGAGCATCGTGAGGAGATGCAGTCCCATGGTAGCCGGTGACCAACGATTGATTCATACACCATTTGTTCCCTCAGGATACTGGAGCCCATGTGCAACATTGGTTTGGAATGAGGGTTTTCCAACTCCCCTAGGTGGACTGTCCATGTCCACCAACCGGGTTAAAGCGCCGGACATTCGCTTTTCGTCCTCTCAATTTCGTAAACAACAGTAATGCCACGAGAAGACAGTGAGTAGGACTTCCCTGTCAGAGGCTATATACGCATGGCCATGTGAGAGCGAACTCTCCCTACTGTTGGCCGTACCAGGGCATTTGGTCAAGCCAAAAGTGGTTGTATGGGAGATTAAGTAATATATCGAGAATAAATTAAGAATGGTAAATCATATAATAGTAGTTAATGGTTGACATAAAAGCCTATGATAAAAGGAATATATATATATATATCGTGAATTTGTTTATGCAACCGGCTAATGTTTGACTAACTTTTGCACACACACACATGCATCAAAGTGAGCTTCAAAGACAACATAAATATACAATTTGACAAATCAATTACATTATTTTTATCGTAATATCCACTTTATGTATATAACCACTGTTAATTGCATTTTTATGATTTATTTCGTAAATTTTGCAGGCAAACACTACGTGATGAAGGTGTTCATGGTCTGTTCAAAGGTGCTGGTTGTCGTGTTATGGTTATGGCACCATTATTTGGTATAGCACAAACTGTGTATTATCTTGGTGTTGCTGAAAGAATTTTAGGCTATCCAAGATATTAAAAAAAATGAATGAAATGTACACACACACACACAAACATTCAGTTTCAATTCATGAAAATGAAATGATGCTTTGATGCCCTATCACCAAATGTATTCATTCATGTCTACTTATTTTTAATAGAGGATAGGGGAACAATAAGGATTAGTAAGTTATGTAATGCATTCCTTCTTTTATTTTCTTTCAGACAATAAATCATTATTATTTTCTATACAATTTTGTAATAGGTAATTTGTATTGCTTTGTCAGTAGATAATTAGAGATTGTGATGTGTCAACTTCGATTGAATTCCATAATGATGTTATGTTTCCTTCTTTCAATCCCTTATTCTTCATTATAGTTTATTATTTTATTTCCCCCTTCCTCTTGTTTTCAGATACCAAAAGGTATACTCTTTGCTCCGATTGACACGGGCGTATTATTATTATTATTATAACTGTGATTTTCTATTTATTTCCACTCTTCGTATAATTAAATCTCCTTAAAGCTTGTCCGTATACATTTTACGGACTTATATATACACACACATATATTATATATGTACACTGGTGCATTGGTGATAAAAACTGAAAGAATCTCTGTTGTATTTCCTCTTAATCTTTTAATAATCTCTAGGCTACATCCATCTTTGTTTATTATCTAAGAGTGATTTTCTTTTTGTTTTAATTAAAACAACAACAACACTTCTCAGTCATATTTATATGAAAGATTAGATGGGTATATACTGTTTCCTATGATTATGAATTAGTTTCATTGTATGTAATTACTTATTCTTTGATTGTACATATACTGTTATGGATTACCTGAATTATTACATTACCATATCTGATTATATAATTAGTTATTATCATGTTTTGTTTCGAAACATTTTCCTTTCTCTTTTTTTCCCATGTCTCCTTTCTTTATCTCTCTGTCACTCTTCAAGATTATATTTTTATAAAATTTAACTGAGTTTTACATTATATTACGGTTCATTGTTGTTATCAATTATTCTGAATAAATTGTATGTTTTATCTCTGAAATCAGTGTTTTAATTCTCTATGTTTCTTAGTTTTATGTATTAGTGTTTGATGTTTGTTTCATTGGATTTTCCATTCATCTGTTAATTAAACAATAATAGGTAACTGATTTAACATCTTGTAGACCAAAGTATTCTTTTGATGATGTAAGGTTGTTAGGGTTGGTCGACAGGAAACACTGCCTAATCTAATTTCCCTGCTATTTGGCAATCTTTATCAAAGCATATTTATGATCTTTATTTATAGTCTCTTGTGAACTCGAATTCACGTCACCTAGCTTCACAGCATGGGATGTTACCACTGAACTTTTCGGGCTGCGACTAAACTCCTATAAGACTATGTTAAGTCTGAAGCGGATTCTAATTCACTTAGTCAGCGAACGGAACAAAGACTTGTGACCAGAGACCAATAAGCTAGCTATTCTGACGCGTCCCAGACCCAGCTAACTAGAGTGAAAAGTTCAAGTTTGAAGTGGGGAAGATATGTTCCGTAAGTAGCCATAAGCACAAGCAATCACAATAGGAAGAAATCAAAGGTATATATACATTTTAAAATTGTCCTTGGGAAGCATTACAAAATAGCACACTAAAAGAAACAACGGACCAATAGCGTTTAAAATATTTCCAAGTGGGAAATACGACTCGAAGGTGAAAGGAGCGCTTTTAGGGCGAAAACAAAAAAATCCAAAATTTCAAAATAAGATTACAAAAATAAGTCATTTACCAAGTGAGTTCTGGGGATTTAAGATCCCCAACGGACTAAGACATTTGCAGCTGATTAATCATGGAGTAGTCTTTGATTCCTTTGAGAAAGATTGACAAGTTGTTGTCCTAATCTCTCCTTATGTAATTTGTTTATTTTGTGTCAAAATGTTTTATAAATTTGCAGTACATACTGTTAAGACTCTTTCATTTGGAGCGATAGAGATTTCACCTACTAAGTTGTAGGTTCGATTTCTACTCTACCTAATTTTGAGTTAAGTAACTGCATGGTAGTACTAAATCTTATGCAACAGGTGTAATCCATAGCTGAATACCGAAAGTAGTATTTACTATATGTGATGTACAAAGCTTTTCGAACTTTTTTATTCATTACAAATCAATAATTAGGTTTTATGGTTTACATGACAACTATTGAAAACCAGGAAACATAATCACTGTTTTTTCATAGTGCATGACTCTTCGTCAGTGCATATTTGCAGGCCCACCGGTAATCGAGTCAGAATCTCCTGGTCTCATCGGATTGAGTCAGTTACCCACCAATAACATGATATTATTCTGATTGCATCATATTTCGGTAATGAACTGAAGTTAAGAGTTTAATCCACTAGTTGTAAACTCAATGGTCCTATAATTCAATGCTTCTCACGAGAGCTAAAAGTCTTGGATTTAGTCCTCAGTTGGGTTGGCGATGTTCATTGCTGTGGAATCCCATACTGGTATGAAACAGATGTCCATTTTTTTGTGGTTGCCTAGCTACAGTCAGTTTGTGATGTAAATTACAAAGTTGTTAGATTCCAGTAACCATCAGATATCTTTTGATTTAGGTGATATGTTGGTGTAGGAATAATATGATAGCGAAAATACAACTAACCTCGAACACCGTAATTACAACTGTGAACTGTGAAATGCTCTTATATTCTGACTATATGTCAATTTAGTGATAACTGTTTAGATAAGTGTAACATAGTATTTTAACATAATGTGTAAAATGAAGACGAAATTGTTTTGCTTTTCTGATTATATTTATTTGATGACTTTAACAATGGTACTCAATTATCGAATAGTAATGAAATTTCACACTGATTGTTCAATGATTCGACGATTTGGCTTTTCACTGGTTGAACTTCAGTGGATTTGTCTTAATTTAAGTAACTTGTCTTTAAAAAAGTTAAGCTAAGAACGCAATATATCAAGTTGCTCTTTTGTTACTGATGTAAGTTGATAGTGTTGAATATATTGACTAGGGAATTGTAAATACAGTAACCGGATTTTAGAAGGATAAATGTTATACGGTTGTTGGTAGTCGGGAGGAATCCATGAAACTAGGTTTCTTGTTAGTTGGTGCTCTTCAACTTTTCATGTCTGCAATAATGTTTGTATGATTCAAACCCAAATCGTGCAGCCCTTCAATTTGGGATATTATCATTGAGCTATTCAGGCTACGACTGACCTCCTGTTGCAATCTGATTGATAGAATTCGGTCAGCACCAAGTAGATCAGGCAAGCATGAAATTGGCTGTTTTTTTCGCTGATTATTATTATTATCTTGAAAATTCCTCAGCTTTGTTATCTCTATCCACTGCCACAGTTATAATATTTTCGTGTCAGTGGTCGACGGTAATCATGAGGAAGTTCTGAATTTAAGTTTAATCCTAGTTACACTCGTCAATAAAACATGTCTGTAGTCATTTAGGCTATTGATGCTGCATGTTAGATTTGAACCCGTTTCGCTCAGTATTACAGTCATGAACGATACCACTGAGGTAATTAGGTTAACCACTAACTCTCTACAGTACTGATATCATTCTACATCAATGACTATCCAGTTATAGATCAGTCAGTTTTAATGTGTTTACAACAATGTCTGATGGGGAAAAAGGAAGATATTTACTTTACTAATTTATTTTGAAATTGAGATGAAACAGCTTATTGTTGGTATCAGATTACTGTCCTAGATTTTAATAATGCAGGATATTCCCTATTTGATCATTAAATATATTCCAAACATTTTATAAAATGAACATTTAAATCACCTAAGTGTATTTTATGAAACATTAGATTGTTCAGTTACTTTAATCTTGTCTGAGTCAACTCGACCTTGACATTATTTGGAATAGTGTAATAAGAAGACGAAGATTACACTATAACAATTTATCAAAGGGACTAATTACTTATCTCTTTCTAATTCCGAACATCTAAGTGGTACAAAAAATTGATCTCATTAACAATCTGATGTATAGTAGTAGTAAATTCTATTAATCTTTTATATGTGAAGTCAGTATTGGGCATTCTTTAATTCAGTTAGTTTATTTGATACTTCTTGAAGTATAACTCTATAGATTGTTACGTGATTAGTTAGTCAATAGGATATCGTGGGACTAGGTTTAATGTTAATTGTAAGTATGAGACTGTAGGGATTGTTGAGTTTCTCTGAAATCATAAACTGATCAATGTCAAACCATCATTGAAAACCTGGAAACACTGGACGCCCATTTCGTTCCAGTATGGGAGTCATCAGAAGTACACATGCATGAGGCAATCGAACCTAGGGTCTTCGGTCTCTTTCGCGGGCGTTAAACCTCAAGACCATTGAGTCAGGATCCAGTACTAATTGTTACTCGTCAACAAAGTGCATTAGTATTCTTGGAGGGGAACTCATGCTAACTGATAGATACGACCCCTCGTTATCCAGCTTCACAGTCAGAGATGTTATCAATGAGCTTTCCAAACCGTGACTGTCATCCCATAAGACTTTTATATACTTTCAAGTAATTGGTAACTGAGTGACCACCAATGTCATGTTTGTCAAGTCCTTCTTGAGTTCTACTGATCAAGTTGCAATGTGACTACTGGTCTAGGTGACTCCACATCGCGAGCGCTGTGTTTATATTTAAGATAGTGGTTGAAGATAGTTGATAAGGAACTATGGGCTTTGGTTTCGTGCTATACGGCACTCGTCAACAAAGTTTACCTGTAATCTCTATATTACTTGTACTCCTGGAAGGATTCGATCCCGTATCAACCAGCCCCACATTCAGAACTGTTACCACGGGGCTATCCAGGATTCAACTAACCGCTTGTGGAACAGATCTATTTACAATATATCAATGTAGAGAGTGATGTGGAAATAATTAATTTCGATATCTTCATTTTATCATTAATGAAATTTTTGAAATGAAAGCTTTCTATGGGTTGTTGATAAAAATTTTGTGTTCTTTTCTCAATTATCAGTTAATTTTGAACTATACTATAGGACAGACTATGAACAACGTTAATAATCAATAATCTTGTGACTTATGAAGCTATTTTACACTTAATTATTTAAGAGTTTATCCAATTCAAGGTTATCATTCTATAGAAGTAATAAGGCCTATGTTGTAGTTTCCGATCACGGATCGGGATCACATGCTATTAGGCTCAACCAGGATTTAATTTCCAGTTCTGTTCTATGTCTCTTCTGCTATTTCTCTTATAGCGCAGTGTCCTAGACTAGACTAATTATAAGTACGACAAGCACCGTTAAAATGTCAGCCGATGCCAGATTAACTCCCATTGATCCTCTGTATTCGAGCCGTTCCCTATTCTTTGTATTAATTTCAAATAGAAGTCAACTCCTATCATTAATGTGTTACAAACACACCTAAGTTTATATAAGCGCATACTGGAT